GGCGGAACGCGCGGCCAGCTGACAGCCCAGACGCGTCTGGGCTGTCAGCTGGCCGCGCGTTCCGCCACCGCTTTGCTTTCTCTCCCTGGTCTGCTCGAGACCAGGGAGAGGAAGTGCCCCGTTCGTAACTGTGGATCCGACGTAAGTCGGATCCGCGTAACTCGGGGACTGCCTGTATATATTTGTCATATGGAAACGATTGTCCCATTGGCATTTGAACAAGCTTCAGTTAACACCACACACACTGCTGCAGAGCTGGCTTATTCAGAATCACAGAATCCTGGCAACACTGCCACAGAATTTAACTACAGTGTACTTTACTAGCTACTAGGACCCATAAAAATAAATGTGCATCAATGAAATATCAATGCAGAACACAAAGCCCTGTTTAACAGATGTGCATGCAGCTCAAGGTTTTGCCAGTTAGTATAAAGGTGTGATCTTAACATTTTTCAACTAAAGTAGAATTTTAATCTACCTGTCAGAAAATTTGTGTCCAAAAGAGATCCAGTCCTTCTCTATCAAGACCTAGAAGGAAGATACCACATGTAAAGAAGTTATGAACTAGATATGTGCATTCATCCTGACAGATCAGTTTATATGCTCTGTTTTGAATTTATTCAGTCTGCGTTATGCAAAGTGGTGTAAATTGCAGTTTCTTGGCATAGTCATCAATATCTACAAGGACTCCCTGAAAGTACAGCGGAACTAATTCTGAAAACTCTGCTTATTTTACATTTTTAAAAATGTGTTTCATTGTTAGTTGAGTCAATTCTCTACCTAATAATTATAGTAGCTATGCTAAACCAATTCCACTTTAAGAGTGAAATAAAGCCTCATTAATTCACATAAATGAGGGAGACAGATTGCTAATGGTCGATATTTGCAAATTAGTAAGTTAACAAAAATGCAGGATGATTACCATATGTACTTTAGTATAAATTAAAACTACTGTTGAATACATAACATCATAGTAAAATGTTATTTAGTACGTTTTGTAATAATCTTGATAACAAAAAGAACATTGGGACTGCTGGCTAGGAGCAGACTGGCAACTTGCCTGACAGTGGCTAGTACCAAGTACTTCAGATTTAAAAAACAAACAAACAAAAACCCCACACTAACTCCTTATAATTGTGCTTTATGAAATACGCCCATTGCAAAAGTTCTTCCCTAGCCCCAAGCATTTGTTAATAGTTTTCTCCCCCACCTTTTTATTCTTACTGCCTACAGATGAGTTTAGCCACATAAATAGCTCCTAACCCTTTTCTGAATATGACTAGACTCTTGGCCTAACTCAGGGGTTCTCAAAAACTTTGAGATACCCTGACCTGCCCTCTAAGTTGCTCGCAACCCCCCGGGGGGTTGGGACCCACAGTTTGACAAATGCGGGCCTAAGTGATAATTGTAGCTGTGAGTGCCACATGTTCTACATAGTCTACTAATTTTAGAAGTAGTCTAGTCAAAAAGTCACTATATTTCCTTTATTTACAGTATA